CCCCCCCCCCCTCCTCACAAGCTTTTGGTTGTTCGGAACGGGCCCGTAACTCAAAAGGGACGTCAAATTCGGGTTGATGCTCAAATTCTTCTCTTGTCGCCACCCCCGAGATCAGGTTTTCTGCAAGAGTTTTGTGAAGGATCCACTGCTGGGCTTTGTTTTCTTACTATATCTACGTTCCTTTCTTGTTTTTCGTGAAAGTTTGATCCTCTTAATGTCAACAGAATGTGTCTTGATTGCGGGCCTCCTCTGTGTCCCGTGTGTCACCCCAAAGCGATGCTTGGGCTTGTGCTGCTGGATCGCCACTGTAGGAGGGAGGCGGGGGAAGGGGGGANCAAAGCGAACATATCTTTACCAGATTCCACTCCACCACACGTCTCTCTCCGTCGAGCGACTTGGTGACGAGGTATCTGCAAGAGAACGAAAAAACAAAACCTCGCTCCCAACCCAAACCCATTCCCAACCAATCCGTCGGGGCCTTGCACCGTCAGTGCAGTTGTGCTGCTCACCACAGCTGTTTCCTCTGCCGCTGCTGCTTCATTGTGGCCTTGAATATTCGTGTGACGTAGATAATCGGGAGGTGTCCGTCGTTGATGTGCGATTTTTTTCTCTCCGGCAGATGCTGTTCAGGGACACGAAGGCCAAGAAGATTCTGCCGGACTCTTACCAGATCAGGGACGTCCCGTGCGTGAACGTGTGCATGCGGAGAGATCTCAACGCCAACATATTCTCCAACCTGTTCGCGATGATCCGCCAATAGCCCTGCGAAGTAGTCGTCGACGTCCATGGCTGCTCCGTGCGATGCTGATTTGGCTCGTGGGGTGTGTGCATGTCTCTCGCGGTTGGCATCAAAAGCCGCCGTTAGCCCGGTGACTTCCGTTGGCGCTCCGTAGCTGCTTGTGATTTGTTGCGTCGGAAATGTGAAGGTCCCTCGGTTGGTATGGTATCTAAAGTTAGCTTGGCATAATAGTCGCAGCTGACACTCTCGTACACTAATGGAAGCTGGTTTCGGATTCCACAGAGTGCAATAGAAGAGGTGTCGTTCGTTGGTGGCGTAGCAAAACTACAATAGAACGCAGCGTGTGCTACCCGAAGAGTCTCAGTTGATTTCGTACGGAGTGGTACACATTACAGGCTAGCTTTTTTGGCTTGCTGGGGCTGCTCTCGTACCAACGTACCTGGTGTTTGAGTGTGGTTTTTCTCGTCCATGCCTACTGGAGAGGACAAAAAAAGAAAGAAATTGAATGATCGTAAATGTATATTCGTTCGTATCTACCAACTGGAAGGAAGAGGTTTGTGCACGGCCACACCTCTCTCCTCTCTTGCGCTGTAAGCATCACGTGTGTCCCATTCATACCACAATGTACCGTTGTTCGTTTCCATCTCTCGGCCGTTTGCCCCCCCCCCACACAACATCAAGCAACGTGGCGTGGTTTTTCGCTGTGTCTGGGATTAGCTTGCAATGCGCATACTACATCAATATCTGCACATCATGAGCGAAGTCGTTCGTTCGGCGACTTATTTTGCTTTCGCTGAATGTCGTCGACAACGGTGCTCCATGCATCGGTCCGAGAGCCATCGTCCATTCTCCCCTCATGAGGGCATTAGGCCGGGTGTTTTTGTACTCTCGAACACATTCGCGCATGTTTGTTGCCGTCCGGAGTGCGAGGAGAACGAGTGCCTCTTCGTTTCAACCTTTTGGCCATGTGCGTGACAGATTATAAAAAGAGTTGTGTGTTGATCAGTTGCTCGCTGTCGGGCAGGGCCCCGCGCGAACAACAGCGTTGGTTACCGGAGGCGACGTTAGCGGTAACGGGACTAGAGGGTAGAGGCTTGCCTCTCGGTGTTGATTGATCCTTCGTGCACACTTCCTGCAGGTTTTTCTTAACTGGTACCTGCTAGTTTGTAACGCGGAATTCCGAGCCCTTAGTGTTCCACAAATCATGCAGACTTTCGTTAACTGGTGTTGGATCTTAACGCGAACCCCTGATAGATGGTCCTCTACTCTACATCCGTCATGACTCAACGCGCGCCGCCTCCAAACTTCGGCATCTCTTCACATGTCAATGAAGGTACATTTTCGTTGCTGCCGCCCAATCTACGCATGCTTCCTATCTTTGAGCGCGGAAGCACCGGTTTTCGCGGACGGATAGATAGGGCTGTTAACTCAGTGCACAGCAAAAGCCAACGTACAAAGTAGGTACCCCCCCCATTATAATAGACCTACAACGAAGAGAACTCCAACATACAGTTGATGTCGCTGGACTCCCACCCCTCCTTCATTGAAACCACCAGCCCCAACCTCGTCCGTCGTCAGCACCTGCCACCGCCGTTGGTATCCCCCCCTCCGGTCCGGGTAGTTTTCCGCTTTTGTTCATTGTTGGAACGTTTGGTTTGACCGCGTTCGACCGGTGGATGACGAAAAATTACTTCGTATCTTCTGTTGTACCATGCCACAAAACGAACCACAAGATTAGCACAAGCTCTACAACGTGCTTCCAAAACATGATACTGACAACAATGCACCAATAGGAGGTGGAATCGAAACGGGATCAAGAGACACCGGTAACAGCAACAGGAGAGTGAGAGAAAGACAGACAGAAAGAGAGAGAGGCCATGACACCAGTTCTGCCTTCCTATCCCCACAATCTCAGAAAATCGAGAAAAGAAATGCCTCCGGGCCACGTACCTAGATTTTACAGCAGACTGTGAGCCCAAGCAATCGAAGCAACACAAAACACGCGGAGTGCAAACATGCTTTTCATATTCGACAAGGCGCTCACACGGTGGGCAACAACTGCAGCATCCAAGAAACGAAACCACGCTGTCCCAAATCATGCCGACAGCGGAAACAAAAACAGCGGGGGGTGGTGCCCGTACACACCCTAAGAGGGGAAGAAATCTAGCCGCCCCCCGCCCCCCGCCCCCCGCCCCCGCGTTGAAGCACAAAAAATGCCAAACGTCCGTCCTGCTGTAGAGAAACCCGAGTACGTACACAATACCCACACCCGAGACGACGAGACGCGGAGATTCGTGCTCCACCTTAACAGCACCTATCACACCAGTGTGTACCGCCAGATCCTCACGCTACGTACCCGCAGGTGCTCAAACCCGTAACAGCAGTGCCATCGACAACCCCCGACGAGGGTCACCGTCCCATCCATTCGCTCCTCTTGACCGTCTCAGGAAACCCGGAAGTCCCGGGAATACAAGGCGAGTAGGTCAAAGGAAAACCACTAATGTGCCCAAAATACGGACACCTCAATTTTTCTCATCGGCAGGGCTCATCCCCCTGTCTTCGGCCAAATCCGGCCACAAGACAGCCATTAGCAGACAACCGTGGCTGTCTCCTTATGCGTGATTCTCCAATGCTTCATTTACTCGATTCCGCGAGAGGGCTGGGGTGTTGGCTGCTCTTCCATGGCATCTCATTGGCCTCCCATCTCCCTCTTCATTTGATCCAATTCGGACTCCACAGCTGGTGAGGAGGACGGTAGCTGGGGGGTAGGTCCCTTCTTCGACGGGAGCTGATAAAAACACAAAACACACGAGATAAGGGCAAGCGAAAGGGAGTCGTGAACCAGAATGGGGGGGGGCATGGGGGAGTGGAAAGCTCTGGAGAAACGGCGAGAGAGACGGGACGGAGAGGAGAAAGGGAGACAGTGAGGGAGAGACGAAAACAAAACACACTCACACAAACACCAAGGCTGACATCAAGTCATCGGCCACCCGCGTCAGCGTGTGGTCGATGCTAATCATGAGGACACGTACGGCGAATCCGCAGCTCACCAAGCCCTTCATCTTTGCCAGCTCGTTGTCGACGGCGTTGCTCCCTTCCAGCGCCTTGAACTGCCCCTCCAAAGACACGCTCGTCGACCCCGACAGCTCCCCGGCGATCTATGCAGCAGCAGCAGTGGTGGTGGGATTCACAAGTGTAACGTTTTTTTACGTGATGCGTTGTTTTTTTATATGATTTTTTTTTTTTTTTGGCCCGTACCAGGTCACCGGCGATCTTTCGAGGCAGCAGCAGCGGTGGTGATGGGGTATACAAGTGTAACGCTCATTCTTTTGCGTGTAACGTTTTCTGCCGGTGATGTGGGGAGATCACGACTCCAACGGAAGCCTGGTTACTTGAGTTAAACGGTTCTCGATCGGACGGCTCGAATCGTGCAGCACACGTGCAAAAAGACACGACATGGACCCGCCCATAGCAACGCAGGCCACGTATGTCAGCAGCTAAGAATGCACACGGCGCGTGTGGCGCGAGCTCAGGCAGGACGACTCATTAAAGGGGGGGGGCACTCGTGTCATGTAGTGTATGCCTTAGCGCATCACGTCCAGTCTTGTCGGGTCGGGTGATTCCTTCATTTTCGGTTGTTTTGTTTTTCTGAGGAAAATTCCTGTAAATTTCGGCGAACCACGGTGGTGGTGAAATGTTTGGTGGACGGGGGTACGAAAAGGGTCGTGTTTGCCTCTCATTGTGTGGCGTTTGTGTGCTGTTTTGTGTGTGTGTTGTGTTTTTTCAGTGTGGTTCGTGAAGTAGCAGCAGCAGCTGCAGCTGCAGCTGCTAGATCGTTCACCATGGTGGGTGGTGAGGGTGGGGGCGTCCTCATGAAAACGTCTACCGTCGTCGTGATAGACCATTGGCCTCGCACGCCTACAACGGCTGGGGGGGTGTTTTCATAGTCGTGCATGCCGTAGTCGTTAGACCATTGACCTCGCATCCCTACAAAGCCGGGACGGAGCACGCCGACTTTTCAGTGGACCAGGCTAGCACATCACCAAGCGCGAAGCGCCGTGAGGTATTCGACGAGTCGCGTGAAGGGTGCGCTCGCTGCATCCTGCCACGCGTGTTCGGCAACTTGTACTTCTTTCCTTGCAAAATGGGTGGGCGGGGGGGGCGTTACTCATAGCCGGCCGTAAATGCCATAGTCGCCGTTAGATCATAGACCTAAAATGGGTGGGGGTTGATTGAGGGTGGGTAATTTGGTAGTCCTCACCTCAGCGTTGGCCTCCAAGCTTTCGACCTTCTCCGTCATGCGGTCGAAGGCGTCCATGCTCGTCGTGCCCGTGATGCTCCCCAGCATGTCGTTTACCTGCGTCGTCGTCTTGGCCGTCCGCGCACGGGCGATCAGGGTCTCCTTCTGGCCCTGCGATCGTCGTCGTCGTCGTCGTCGTCGTTGTCGTCGTCGTCGTCATTGGGCACAAAAAAAAGACGGCAATGACCGGTGACGACCGCGTCGGCGAGCAGGGATTTGAAACGAAGGCCAACACACCGCAACATTTAAGGGGATGCCGTAAAAGAACAGCGCGGAGTTGAAACTACGAGAACACCGTAAAAAGCGAGGAAGAACGCACAGACGGGTGTGCGAATCAATTGTTAGTGGTAAGGCTCGATTGGTCCTCGGAACGGTGCTCTACACTCGGGTTTTCTACACCCAGGGTGGCGTGCGCAGAACCGATCCTTCCATGACTACAACGGTATGGTATGGTGTTCAAAACGACGGATTTGCTAGCACGTACAGTGGCCTTTCCGCAGCCGATCGTCTACGATCCACCTACAACGGTATGTTGTTCAAAATTGCGGATTTTCTGCACGCAGGGAGGCGTGTGCGCAGGTGATCGTTTTATCCACCATCACCTAAAACAGCATGACGTTCAAAACTACTTCGGGATTTCTGCACGTAAGGTGGCGTGTCGATTGCTCCATGTTCCACCCCCGAAAACGGTATTATGCATATGGTGTTCTACACACGGGTTTTCTGCACCCAGGGTGGCGTGGGCGTAGGCGATTGTTGCATTGCCTACTGACTGTATCTACCTTCGCCTCCGTGATCTTGGCCTCGAGCTGCTGCATCGAGTCCCTCAGCTTGTCCAGCGCTTGCCCCTGCGCGTCCATCTGCATCCCCATGCTCCCGGACGTGTCAAGCTGCGACAGTGGGGCGGGGGGGGNGGGGGGGGTAATGACGATGTCAGAAGTGGATGCCCATGCTGCCGGCCGGACGTACCAAGAAGCAGCAGCAGCAACAGTGGCGGCTGCGGCTGCGGCATCCAACATGGACGACAGCAGCAACATATGCTTAGAAATAAAAAATAGGCTGCCGACAACAACAGCAGTGAACAACAAAAACAGACAAGACCGCAAACACCGCAACAAGACAAGAAACAAGGAGATGCGGCAGCCGTATGCACCTGCGGCTGCCCACGGCAGCAGAAAACAAAAGCGAACAAAAAAAAACGCAGCCGCTAACAAAACAACAACAACAACAGCAACAACAACAACAACAACAACAACAGAAAAACAAAGGACTGCAACACGGCAAGAAAACAAAAGAAGAGATAACCAACAACAGCAGTACCTGCTGCTGCCGCCTTGCGAGCGCCTCCCTCGCAAGGTTCTCGTCCCCGTTTTGAAGCGCCAGCTGCGCGCGGTCGTACCAGTTCGCCGCCAGCCGGTCTGCCTCCTGCTTCTGCCGTTCCATGCGCTTCTGAGTTGCCGACACCTGGGAGGGGCCATGATGCGAGAGGGGAGACAGCACCGTACACGAGCACAAGATTGAACGAGAATCATTGGCTGCTTCTGGCGGTCCATGCGGTTCTGAGTGGCAGACCCCTGAAGGATGGATGTGGAATACCACCACCAAAAGCACAGCAATCTGCTGCTGCTTCTGCCCGTCCATACGCTTCTGAGTCGCCGACAACTGAAGGGTTAATGCGGGGGGGGGGGGAATACCACAACACAGAGCATTTGGGCGAAATCAGGCATGTAAAGCCGCTAGTAGTTTTGCTGCACGAGGGAAAAAAAAATCGGCCACACTTTCATCAGTCTAAACTATACATCGCTTGACCAAACCAGGTCTGCGGTGTCGCTGATGCAACAAACACCGCCACCACAGTGTAGGGGCGACGACTTTCACTAGTGCACAGCAAAGCTTAAGAGCGGCATATTTACCTCAGCGTAGGACTGCCTGATCTTGACCAGGTCCTTCTGCATGTCCTCCACCGCTTGCTCCAGGATCTAACAAACGAAAATTCAGAGAAAATTCCACCGGTCGCCAGCAGAAAACACGTGGTACATACATATTGAAATCACACACGAGGACTTCATCATGCACATGCTAGGGAGGAAGAAGAGAAGCCTTTGAAGGCACCGGTATAGCAAGAGGGGATTTCCTGAGCTCTGAAGAGCACAGTTATGTCGATAACATTCCCCGGTTCGAAAGACTAAACTTACAACACAGCAGTGTGTCGACTTCATACGCCTTCAGCAACTTATTGCTAAAAACATTTCAGCATCAGCAAGAGACATGCCTCCTCCTATAGACCTGTGATTCTACTTTGAGGCCCCCCCTACATGACTTGAAAACACCGATTCGGGCGGGGCATCCGACCAGATGCATCACGCACGACGAGCGGCACGCTGCTTGCAACAAACGATCCCCTGCGAGAGCCCATGAATGGATAACTCAGGCGTTCCGTTTACTTGGACTTTTTCGGCCGCGCACCCTTGGGTTGCAAAGCAGTTTCAGCACCCCAAAAACCGGACAAAAACCGGACAAAAACCTGCGGCGACAAACGGTAAATGCTTCAAAACGCCATGATCTCGGACTCGTGAAAAGGGGTGACGGGGAAAGCTAGGCTATCCTCCGAACTCTAGAAGGAGTAAGAAAGGACCATGCACGCGTCTGTACAAGAAAATCCAGCATCGGGCACACGATGGAAAGATCGCAGTGCCGCTTGGCACGTGTCTAACGAAGCCGCCTGACCGACGCGCCACTGGTGCAGAAGACTCGACAAAGGGTCCACTGGTGCTGGCAACTATTGGGCGCTCTCTCACAAAATCACCAAACACACGCGCCCGTTTACCGCACGACACACGAGCGACCGAAAGTGAGCCCGACCCTACACCAGCCATCATGGGTTCCTTAGGCTTGCCCTGTCCTGGGTTGGCTGAGGAAACCCGCCGCTCGCATCTCGGGAATGCCTTCCCGAGATGCGGCCGCCGGGATCCCTTGGCCAGCCCAGGACATGCCCGACGAGGGAAAACACCCATCATCTTGACTGCAGCAGGATCGATTCACGTGCGGCTGCTTGCGTGACGCGGTGAGCAGGTGAGAGCCGGATCGTTGGGAGCAGCGTTGTATATGAGTATGAGGGCGCGGTCCGCCGGCGCCACGCCGCCGCCTCACTACACACCCACCCACCCGTCCACCGCATCACCCAAGCAACCCCAAGCGAATCGATACAGCACACAGGATGGGGGCTACCCGAGGCTTAGCCTCATCAGCTAGCCATGTCCTGGTCTGGCTCGGGGATGCCGGCGCCTGCAGTTCGGAAGGTGGCCCTACCAGAGTCAAAAGTGCGTGCCCTCACTGGCCAAGCATCAGTGAGGACACCCACCTTTCATTCTTTTGGGGTAACCTTGCCGACATGCGGGTGCCGGCTTTCCTGAGCCAAGTCCAAGACATGCCCGACCCGGGCACACCCAGGGGGAAAACACCCATCTCGACTGCTGTAGGATCGATTCACGTGCGAATGCTTGCTGTGTGGAGCGTGGTGAAAAGGTGAGCGGGATTGGTCGGAGCGTTTTGCTCCGGAGCTTGTAGCGGAGGGCGTTGGACGTGCGGACGTACGAATGGGCACTCCGTCAGGGGGTACAAGACTCGAAATTCGGATCGTGTCTTCTTCGTTGACTCTTGCGTGCCAGAGCTTGGCAGGCCGCCGGAACGCGGGTTTCAATCTACTATGGACTTGGACCATTTCTTCATTTTAGGCATTGGGGATGACAGCGGGCAGTTCTTACAAACAACCTCTTTGCTTCGTATATCCGCCCAATTCTATCTACCCTTGTTTCCACGGCTTGTGGTGTTATTGCTACCCCGGCATTAGCGCGGTTGCTCGGTCACACGGTCCCAGATCGTGGCCTGTTTGTGTTTTCCACCGCGTTGGGACTGACGTTTTTTCATTGATCAGCCGGTTAGCGCGGTCGATGCTGATAATAATTACACTCACACATTTGGCGGTAGAATCCTTTCTTTCCCTAGAAGGCGTGTTTGCCTTAATTATCCCGCAATTTAAAGACCGACGTCATATCGTTGGTCAGACGGTGAGCGCGGTCGACACAAATTGACGATACACACAAGCGCACACCTTCTCAGGGTCTTCCCAGGTCTGCAAGATGTTGTTTAGGTTCGCCTTCGCAACCCGCAGGAAACGATCAGCCAGGTTCATCTGAAGCGCGGTCGATGGGCCCCCGCTGGTTCGCCAAGAGGGCGAGCGCCGGACATGGGACTGGGCGGAGACAATCCCCTGCAAGAACAAGAGACATGCACAAGAACAACGAGAGAGAGAGGGGGAGCGGGTAGGGAGAGAGAATCGGTATACCGCAGGTGGTCCGATAGAGTGGCATGTAGGGGCAAGAGGATAATATGCCACTATTCAGGGAAGTGCCACTATTCGATATACGACGTCACCTACATGTTGAGAAAGTGACAAGAGATCTTGACGCCACCATATCGGACCTCTTACGGTACATAACACAAATGGAGAACAAAAAAACAAGAAAAACAACGGCGCACAAGCGAAAATCTCCTGAGTGAGAGAGTCTTGAGAAAGTGTTGTCGATGACGAAGAAGGCGAAAAGGCCGGCGAAAAACTGCGAGGGCTTCAACCACGGGATGGCAAGCAAAAGAAGCAGGATAACACACAAAAAAAATAAATCTCACCGCCCCCGGCGTTGATCTCGCGATGGTCGACGCGGAAGGTGGTACGACGAATCCTCCCACGAGGGTGACGATGCCGGATGAAGGCGACGAAGAGGCGGCCAGGGCGAGGGCTGCCGCCACCGCGACGGGGGTGCTTCGGAAGGGGCCCATGTCTCTTTCTGGCCCGGCGGTCTTTTTATGTACCTTCAGTTTGTCTCGGTATATACAGCAGTAGTGCCTCTGTGGAGCTGCTGCAAGGAAAGGGAAGAGACGGGTGGTTTTCATTGGTCGGAGTAGAGAAAAGCGGAGTGGACCGGTGGCTGGAGGGGGTGACGCGCTGACGGCAGGTGGCAGGGTCGGAGCGTTGTACCGGCTCTTCCCTTTGACTTAGACCACTGCTTGTGTGACATACATTCCTGCCTGCTACTGTGTGCCTATCTGTCGGGAGGGTACGATGGTCTTGAACTCATGTTGCACCCAAGAACGTCAAAGCGCCTTGGGCAGGCACAGCCAAATCATGTCGAAAGAGACGAGGGGATGCGTGAGACTTCGGCGAAGATAGAGGGGGGGGGGGGGGG